TAATAGGAGCCTATATAAGAAAAAGACCCCCAAAGTGGGACTGTCCCTATAAAATCGGGACCTCTGGTCACCCAAGGGGGAGATGCTGGGGAGCAGCCAGGGGCTGCCCAGAGGGGCGCTGGGGTGCAGCAGGAGAGCAAGCACCCAGGCTGGAGCAGCCCAGGCCAGCAGCCAGGGTGCTGGTGCCAGCCCAGGCTGGAGACGCACCCCCGGGCTCCTCCCCCTCCCGCAGGCGCTGCCCCTTTAAGGCGCTCCTCCAGCCGCCGCGAATTGCATCAGGCGCGTGCGCGCCGCCGGCCCGGGCCGTCCCCCTTTCGGCGTGCGCGCCCCCCACCCGCCGAGGCGGAGCTGGCGCTGGAACGTGCGCGCGCGGCGGCAGGCCGGCCGCGAGGAAGGGGGGTGGGTGCGCGCGCGCGCTCCCGTGCCAGTCGCGTGGTCTCCGTGCTTCTCCATATTGCTGCAGCTGGAGGGGTGCCGCGGGAGGGGGAGCTGGTGCAGGGGGCCCCCCCACTTGCTCCGGGCTGCGTGCGGCTGAGCAGGGCCCCGCCCGGCGGGGGGAGCGCCTGGAGCCGGAGCGGGGGGGACGCGGCGGCCGGCCGGGGGCGCCGATGGCGACCCAGGTGGAGGCTCTCCTGCCCGGCAACCCCCCTACTGCCCGCCGAGGAGCACGGGCTGCTCATCAAGAAGCCCCAGGAAGGGGCCCGGGAGAAGGGCGAGCCCCTCATGCCCCACGGGGAGAAGGCCACCGCCGAGGAGGGCCGCGGGGGCGCCCCGGACAGCTGCCCCAAGGGGGGCGGCGGCGGCGTGGCGGGGGAGCCGCCCCGGCGGAGCGCGGCGCCCAAGCCCCCCAGCATCAAGCAGCAGAAGGAGGAGAGCAACAACCAGGAGAAGGAGAACCTGCTGCAGCAGCGCGCCGGGGGCGAGAACCGGCTGCTGGGCGAGGCGGGGGGCAGCAGCGGCGGCGAGGAAGGCGGCGAGCAGGGAGGAGGCGGGCGCAAGGAATTCATCGAGGCCCCCCCGCCCAAGGTGAACCCTTGGACTAAAAACGCCCCGGTGGCCGTGGTCACCGTCAACGGACAGTCCCCCCCAGGTGGGTCCGGGGGGTGACCCTGAGCCGCGGCGGGGGGAGGGATCTCTGGGCTGCAGTACGGTGACTCGGGGGTTTTTGTTCTCTTCCCCCCCAACCCCACCCCAGTTGGCTCCGTCGCTGTTGGATCGACCCCCTGCCTCGGGGTCCTGTCCCCGCTCAGCCCCGGTGCACTAGCTGGGGGAGTAAGCCTGGGTGGGGTGCGTGGGGCTGGGGGCAGCCGGAGGGAAGCGTGATCGCAAGGCCTCGGTCTGGCACACGCTCGCCCAGGGCACACAGCAGCTGCCTTTTTTAATGAAAGGCCTTTCCCCCCACCCAGGGACACAATAAACATGCTGAGAAGGGGGCCCTCGTCTGTGTGTGTGTGTGTGTGTGTGTGTGTGTAGTAGGG